TTTGTTTTACGTAATAGTAAGATGGTCATTTGTTTTACGTAATAGTAAGATGGTCATTTGTTTTACGTAATAGTAAGATGGTCATTTGTTTTACGTAATAGTAAGATGGTCATTTGTTTTACGTAATAGTAAGATGGTCATTTGTTTTACGTAATAGTAAGATGGTCATTTGTTTTACGTAATTGTAAGATGGTCATTTGTTTTACGTAATAGTAAGATGGTCATTTGTTTTACGTAATTGTAAGATGGTCTTTTGTTTTACGTAATTGTAAGATGGTCTTTTGTTTTACGTAATTGTAAGATGGTCTTTTGTTTTACGTTGACAAGGTGCGGCTGGGGGGGGGGTATAAATATTTTATACAACTTTTTAATGTTTATTTTGCGTACCACATATGTTATGCATGAATGTCACATTTCCCAAACAGCTTTGGCGTTCGAATTTGGCTACATTGACGGGTGTGCACATTGCCTGATTTTAATGTTACCATTAATGGAATCAGCGATCCTTTTTATTTTCGGTCCCCTAGTTTAGTTTACTTAGTGAGTATTTTACGATATGGCCTCGACACAAAGAAATGCACGCGAAACCGATGATGAAGAAGAAACTTCTACTTCTACCGATAAACATCAACTTCAACAAAAGATAAAGAAAGTTTATATTCTTGCTTGAATATGAGACACAATTTACTGTGTTGAGGTCTTCATAGAAGGGTCCATCATACGCACTGCACATTCTGCAAGTCGGACTTTTCAGTAGCAATCAGAGGCAAAATGAGTGGTGTGGATTATTTCCGATTAAAATTCGTTTGTTGAAGTTTTAGCCTTTTCCAATAAAAATCTGGCAGTGAATGAAACGAGAAAAACGATTGGTTGTAATTTTTTTTAAAGTTGGGGCCATCCTTCATTATATTATGTGCGCACTGAAAGGGGAGGTGGGGGTTGTTAATGAAGGAGAGCTGCGGCATACGGGACACATGGGTGGGGGGTTGGTCGGAGTGTCAAAGGTTATAAAAATATCACCGCAAAGTATCGTATTGATGGTGATGATTGTCATACTGTTGCTTTGTGTGTCACACTGACCTAGTTAGCTGCGTCACCGGTAATATTTATACTATTCACTGCCATCCCCTTTGACTGCTACACAGCGTGTGACGTAGTTTTGTTCCCTTGAACCGCGGCGATTGTGAAAATGGGGAAACCTAGAGACGATATGGTTTTAAAATAAAATACATGATCCCACTGTTACTGCACTGGAACGTTGGATGTGGACGTATTTTATCAGAGCTAGTCAGCGGCATTTAAAAAAATATTGGTAGAACTGGCAAAGCAGCTCTTTACCCTCAGCGATCGTAATACCACAGTTTGGTATCACTACTAATACTGCCCCCCACCCCCACCCCTTTTTAAACGGAAAAAAAATCAAACGACGGCTCAATTTTTTCCCCAATAATGAGGGGGGGGGGGGGTTCTGCCCGGTGGAAATAATTACGTCACCAGCACGGAAAGATGAATTACTGACTACAGTGTGTTATCAATATGTCATGTTCAATTTTACAACTACAGGGATGTCTTATGAAAACACAAAGCATTATTAGTAGCTTATATGAGTAGGCCTGTATGCTTACTGCGAAATCTTGTAATATTTCTTATAG